TAGGTTTGATATTTATTTAACCTTATTAACCAACTTATAATCATTATTAGAAAGACATTACAATTTATCCCTTTTAACTGTTAACAAAAAAAAAATTAGGTTGTTTAAGTTAAACTAAAATTTATATTTAAGTTAACCCTGTAATGTTATATTTAAATTAATAATTTAAGTGTTTTATACAAATTATTCAAAAATTATATCTTTAAAATGATAGTGGTTTACATTCAACAATATATTAAAATAATAAATTTAGTATAATATGTTAAAAGTTAAAAATATAACTTTATAAGTAGAAGTAAAGATATTATTTTAATATTGAATTTTAGTTTATATATGATTACACTTTAGGTTTGATATTTATTTAACCTTATTAACCAACTTATAATTATTATTAGAAAGACCTATATAGTTGAAGTCTTTACAAATATATGTTTTTTTTTAATATAACAATAACGTTGTTGTTAAATTTGATATAATAATTCGTATACTAAATTGATATAATGTATTGATTATTTTGAATTATATGATAATATATACATCTATTATAACTGCATAATCTCAATCGTTTGAATGACTTCTACCCGTGAGTTATACATGAATAAAATTAAATATAACATATGGTTTAATGTTATTTATAATTGTTGTTATTGTTAATTAATTTTTTAAAATTTATTTGCTTAATGTTTTAATTTTTATCATTATAATTATTTAAAACATCAAACATTGTTTTGTTGATTTTAAAGGTAACAATATAATCATTTATATAGAGTTATTTTTAAGTATTGTTATTGTAAGTTATTTTAAACTATTTATTTGAAAACTTTTAACGATTATAAAAATATCTTTAGGAAAAATTTTAGTTAAATTGAGATTACAATTTAGTTTTTGTATTTATCACTAAAATTTATCACTTTTAACTATTTACACAATATTTTTTGGTTTTTTAAGTGGACTGAAATTTATATTTAAGTTGACATTGTAATGTTATATTTAAAATAACAATTTAAGTATTTTGTCCAAACTATTCAAAAGTTGTTACTTTAAACTGATAATGGTTTACATACAACAACATATTAAATCGAATAAATTAAGTATAATATGTTAAAAGTTAAAGATATAACTTTATAAGTTGAAGTAAAAATATTATTTTAAAATTGAAATTTATTATATTTATGATTACACTTTAGGTTTGATATTTATTTAACCTTATTAACTAACGTATAATCATTATTAGAAAAACACTACAATTAATCACTTTTAACTATTTACAAAATATGTTTGGGTTGTTTAAGTTAAACTAAAATTTATATTTAAGTTGACCCTGTAATGTTATATTCCAAATAATAATATAAGTATTTTATACAAATTGTTCCAAAATTGTATCTTTAAAATGATAATGGTTTACATCCAACAATATATTAAAACTAATAAATTAAGTATAATATGATAAAAGATAAAAAAAATTACTTAATAAGTAGAAGTAAATATATTATTTTAATATTATAATTTAGTTTATATGTGATTACATTTTAGGTTTGATATTTATTTAACCTTATTAACCAACTTATATTTATTATTAGAAAGAAATTGAAAAGTAATGAGAGTTTCAAATGAATGTGGTGAAAAGAAAAAAATAGATGGGAGTTTCAAATGAATGTGGTGAAAGGAAAAATGATTCCTTTATAATATAGTATGATGATAGATATAGACTAGTTGTTTAATTCATGTATTACATGAGTTAATGTCAAAATATTTAAGAACTTTCAATTTATAAGAAAATAAGAAAAATAATGACTTATTATAATGAAAATGTTTTTTTTTATCTTTTAAATTTTA